TTTTCTTTAGACTAACAAGGTCTTATACAAGTAAGTGTCTGGGCTTCAGCACCAAGTAGGGTCCTAACCAAGGCTCATAGAGCACAGCTTCTGAACAGGACCTGGAGAACACAGCAGGGCCTGGTGTCCACTGAACGCGAAGTGGGACAGACTAAGGACAACATGGACACCATGATGAAACTGGGAGTCCACAGGGTCAGACTGGAGTATGGACCTGTCTCACTGCTTTGAACCCCAAAGCTACAGCCTCCTGCAAAAGAACCCATGGTTATCTCTACAGAACCACGTGTATGAGAAGCTCAGAATTCAAAGAACCTGACACAAAGACCAACAGAGGCAGGAGAAGCCCAGCAACTGATCCCCATTCAAGAGACAAGCAGGAATACGCATAACCAGCCTGGAGATCTAGACCCTCGCTCCTAGTAAAACCTGAGGGTTCACTTCTGCCCTCCAAATATCAAGGGGCGTCTGTAGCCAGAATCATTCCCAGATGTGTAGGTCCAGCTTACTGATTCGTTGTGCAAAGCTGCTGCAAAGATAGACTATGACAGAATTATGGGCTAGAAACTATGGAGGTGGCATCCTTCAGTCTATTGTACAGATGTGAAAACTGAGGCCCACAGAAATGATGGACCATCTAGTGTCCCATATCTAGTGACAGGATTTGAAACTAAATGGTATGGGTCTCCATGTGGGCAGGATCAAGAAAGAATGCTGGATTTGATGTTAGGACCCCTGAGTTTTTCTCATTAATTAATTTTCTGGCACTAGGTAAATTACTTAGTTTCTGAATTCATGCTCTTGAGACAGTTTATGGCATATGTAATGTGCCCTTCGCATTGAAGGCGACTCCCTTAACTGTTGAGAAACTGGTCTTTCAAGAAGCATCATTTTATGAAATTATCCAACGGCCTAAGAAAGAAAGGAATCCTGTGCTCCAGGAGGTTCTCACAGTTTCCTCTGGGTTAAAATGGGTTACCCAGGCCTTTGCGCCTTTGCACAAAACAGATTTACAATCTCTCAGTCGGGTGCCAATTGGGCTTCCTAGTTCTTTCTTGTCTCCCTGTGGTGACCTCTGCTTAGGGGAGCTGTTCGGTCTGAGCTTTTCAATACAGGAGCTGAGCGCTCCATAGCTGTCAAAACAAGACTCAGAAAGGTGGTGCCAGGAGAAGCTGGGAAGGTGTCAGATTTATAGTTACATATATTTGTGCCTTTTCTTATGAATTTTTAATGAGCACTTAGCTAATTTTTCTGCTCCATGTTCGTCAGCTGAGACGCGCAAATGCCTGGGGCCAAAATCATGCAAAGGCTACCCTTTCCAACTGTTGCTAAAACAGCCGCATGTGGCTTCTCCATGTGTTCCTGCTGATTCCTCAAGCCATGAACATTGCATAAAAGAGTGAGTGTCCCAGGAGTTCCAGGCAATCTGTATAATCTCTTTTGATTCAGAAGTCACCTAACATCATTTCTCAATAGACACAGGCCTCTAAGATTTAAGAGAAGGAAGTTTTGTTTTTACCCTTCAATGAGTAGAAAAATGTCTATGTACATAGTAAAGAGAACAAGGGAATGGAGAATGATCAGTACTGGAGTGAGTTTATAAACACAGAGCTTATCAAATAAAAGGGCATTTATCCAATGGCACCCCAGAGAATATGTGTGCAAAAAAGTATACACATAAGTACATATATGCACATCTTACCAGTACAGGGAGCATGTAGGTAACTCTTGAATTCAATTTGCAGCCAGGGTATTTTCAATATTGTGCCTATGGTTACAGACAGGAAGTTTGATCACTCAGGTGTTTTAATATTATGAGATTCATTCTCAACATCCATTTTCTCTTGGGGAAAGTAAGTTGGGCTGCTGAATTTTGGACCAAACTAGTTCTATAGTAATCAAGCCTAATATGCTAAAGGTAGGTTATAATCCCTTGCAATATTTGGAAAATATGGATATGAACTGTATGTATTTCAAAGTATACTTAATAGTAGAAAATAGCATTCCTGATGAAAGAGACCCCAACCACACACACACACACACACACACACACACACACACACACACTTATGCATATATTTGCTCATGTACATAGGAAGTGTGAGGGATAAAAACATCACATAGTATTGTTAATAAACATAGAAGGAGGTTATGAGGACATGAGGTTATTCAGCTTGGTCTCTCTAAGATTTCGTTAAGCCAAATTTTCTTGGCTTTGATCTTTGACCACAGCTAGGTAACTTTAGAAGTAAGAAGTAATATAGCTTTGTGAGGCCTGAAGGAAAAATAACGCTCATAGTTGCGAGAATATAACAACTCTGTTGATGGACTTTGAAAGCTTCAAGTAATTCAGTACAGGAAGAAAGGAGTGTCTGACCAAAGGAAGACTGCAAAGCTAAACAAAAGCTTTTCAATTTTAGGACCTTTAATTAGGAAGATTTTCCAACACATAAAAGCATACAGAACATCATTTATCCAAAGATCTACCACCATAGTTAATAGCTATCAGCTATTTGCCATATTTCCTAAAATCTCTTTCCTTTTTAATAAATAAAATGTTAACTATTCAAATTCCCTCCCTTTACAGAAATTATTGCTATCATAAAGTTTGTGTACTATTCCTTTGTCTGTTTCTATATATGTGTATTGGTGCGAGCTGAACTAAGGTGTGCTGAAACTCTACCATTAGTCTGAGTAGCAACATTTCATGGATTAGGCAGCTGCAGGCTGCTGGCTGGACTGGCCTCCACTCAGTGAGCAAGAGAAGGGCTTTTCTAAGCCTGGATGTGGATGCAAGGCAAAGAGAAAGTTTGAATGGTTTCAATGCAACAGGAGCCATATGGGAACCATCCCACTGAAGTCCCTAGTTAGATGGCAGGTGGTAGTTCCTGCTTGGTGAAGCTAACATTTCTTTTTACTGCTTCTTCTAGTTTTACTTATGTAGGAATTCAGAATGTGGGGCCACGTAACCTAGTCTCTTCTCAGCTAATTATTTTAACAGGACTCATGGATGGATTTCTACATTGTATCTCTACATTGTTGTATTTTTATGTTGTAAATTATAGAAATGGTTTTATAGAGTTTATGCGTATTGATGCCTCTTTTCTGCCATTCAGTATTATGGGTTTTAGCTTTAACCATTTGTTCTGGTTTGTTCTTCATTGCTGTGACAAAACACTCTGACCACTACCAACTTGGAGAGGAAAGGGTTTATTCAGCTTACAAGTCTCAGGTTGCAGTTCATCAGGGGGCCCAAGGTAGGAACTCAGAGCAGGAACCTGGAAGTAGGAACTAGAGCACAGGCCATAGAGGAATGCTGCTTACTGGCTTGCTCCCCCAGCCCCTGCTCAGCTTGCTCTCTTATGCAACACAGGCCCACCTGCCCAGGGATGGCACCACCCACAGTGGGCTGGGCCCTCCCACATCACTCATCAAGAAGATGCCCCTCAGACATGGCCACAGGCCAGTCCAATAGAGGCAATTCCCCAATTGAGGCTCCCTCAACCCAGGTGTGTCAAGTTGACACTAAAGCTATCCAGTACACCACTGGACATAAAACATGCCTTAAGGAGAGTAGACATGCACAGAATTAATCTTTTTTTTTCAGTTATATTTATAGTTCACCAGGAGAATGACTTTATAGGAATTTGTGGTTTTTGCATTTGTAGGAAATATCAATTATATGGAGATAAGACTGGGCATCAGACTCAAAAGTGAAAACTAGAAGGAGATATGGTCACTTGAACCCCATCTTTCTATCTTCGAAGGCCACATGCTTTCCTTTCTTTTATAATGGAGCCATTGAAGCAACTGTGTGACCTGGTCTTCATAGAACAGAAGTCCAGCAACTGCCCAGGAGCAGTATACCCTTGCTGAGCACCGGACATGTGTAGGCATTAGGGACCCAAGCTTCCGGACTTCCTTGCATCACATAATTTCATTTCATGTGCTCTCGCCGCCCCTTACCCTAATAGAACTTTTTTTCCTGCTGGGAACTGTCATGCTGGGTTTGCAGGATCTGAATTCTATGCTGTGGAAGAGCAGAAGGTTAGGTAGGGGACAGCCATTTAGGCTCCTTCCTGTCCTGCTGCGCGTTCACTACTTTCAAGAGAAATGCATTGTTTGATGCTTTGTTTGACTGCCAGTTGCACTTTGACAGTGTTTTTAAACTTTACTTTTCATTGTTAAATAAAGGAACTAAAGGGGTATTTATTTTCAGGACACAGAACTAAGTTCTTGATTTATGGTCAGATAGATATAGGTGAGCCATTGTGCATATTCCATCTCTTGTCTCTGTTTAGCACATTGCTCTTGAATATTTAAAAGAAACTAATTATGAGAAGAAACTCTAACTAGAAAAAGGAGAGGCTAGGTACACGTCTTAATTCTGAGGTGGCATTTACTTACCCATATCTACTAAATTAAGTATTACATTGATCTTGCGCTACTCTTAACTAATATTTTATTTCTGTTGCATTTTCAAGCATGTTGCAAGTGACTTCAGGCAGCTTAAACTCATGGGAGCTTTTTAGGCCACATCCAAAAACTAACGGGTTTGATAAATATATTTATCTAGGGCAAGGAGCTCTTTGTTTACTGACATACTTTATTATCACTTGGCTGTCTCCCTCTTTTATGGCTGTTTAGTAGAACATAAAGTCTAGGGGTCCCGTCGGAATCTCACACTTATTTACAGCTTGCCGCAAAGTGGCTTACTGTCATTTATTATTTCTTATTTAATTTATGTGACATCTTTCTACCAAAGAGCCGATGGGCTTACTCATCACAGACACACACACACACACACACACACACACACACACACGCACACACACGCACACACACACCCTTGAACTTCACTCAATGGTGTGATCCCATTAGTATAGCACCAAAAACCGGAACGAAGCTTTTCCACTTGTTTTCATTTGTTCTAAAACCATGTTTTAAGAAAACATTTGCCAAGTTTTCTTTCATAGTAAATGTTTATTGTTTGCCTCTAGGTGGATCGAATCATCTTCTGTGTCTTCCTAGAAGTTGACTTCAAAATCTACAAGAAGAAAATGAGTGAGTTCTTCCCTGTGGGTAAGTAAAGCTAAGTTGTTTCCTTGGAATTGATAGAAGAGGAGGCATCTCTTACACTGGTGTTTTACTTTACAGCCTCAGAGCAATTGCAGCTGTGAGTCTGTGCTTTCTGTCACCCCTGCAAACTTGTATCATAGTTTCCAGGGGATGAAAATGATAGAGATTCTGACCCTAAATTGTCCCACCCCATGAGGTGATTGTGTTGTTTGGGACATGTCAGCACATCTCGTAGGTCTCAGTTGCTCATATGTCAAAAGTGAGGGTTGGACCACTGACTCCTACAGAGCATCCTTCTAGCCCAAAATTGTATAATATGGTCCTTTCCCAACTTGTAAGACTCTTAGGCCTCATGCCTACAACAAGCCATGTTAAACCTCTTTGTGGACTAGTGTAAGAAACCCACTTCAATTTGTGGTCAGAGGTCAGACTTTTCCCATATTCCATCCTCATTCTATCGAATTTTTTCTCTCTCAAGTTCAGTGACTTCAGTGGTACTTTCTAGGGCAATTGGAGAAAGGCTGTCATTCACCTTATTTCATACTTCTTTTTCAAATGTAGGAGAAACTTCAGGGTTATTAAAGAACCTTGAGTAATGGATTTAGGGTTGAATATGTCATTAGTTGGATTGGGGTAATTTGAATATTTTCCCCCATTCTCCCTCTTACAGCTTATTAAGGCTGTACGGCTGAGCTTGTTTAATGCCTTGTTATTTTTATGGTACTATTAAAGTCACAGTACCCAAAGTGCCTTTTCTTAGCCATGCTAAGAACTGCTTCAGGAAATTTCAAGCTACTGGGAGCATTGTTACTGCCTGCCTTTTGGAGAGCTTGCTTTTCTTTAGGCTTCCATCTCCATTTGAAGTAGTTTTTCATATGCTTGGTGAATCTGGTGGGTGGGAAGGAGTGAATCAGGGGTGTGGGTACGCATTTATCTTCTTAGCAGTCTTTCAGAGCCAAGCACGAAACAGGTGCCCTCCTCACAGATCCAAGTAGGACTCGGGTGTGGGAGGAACAGGGGCAGGAAGCCAGTGTCCACTCTCTGCTAATGCTCTAGGTGGATCAACTTCTTCAGTCTCTCACCTTAATGTTGTAGTTAAGCTGTGAATCTTGGAATTGTAAAGGATTTCCTCCACTGAACGTAATGTAACTTTTCACCCTCCCTTGCACTGGTAGCTGGATTATGGTTCTAACCTTTTCCTCTTTTTCTTCTCCTCTCTCCCTTCTTTTTCTGCCTTCCTACATTTTAGCATCTCAGTATTTTACAATGTGAAGAACTAATACTTAATAAGCAGTTGCTCAGATGAATAAAATTTTAAAAATGCTTCTCACCATTACCTTGGGTTATTTTTCTTTCCTTTTCAGTCTCTTTTTTCCCTTCTTTTTTCTTGATTTCTTTTGTAATCTCAGTTTGGTGACTTGACTTGCGCTTACATGTCTAAGAATTCTTAGAAGGAATTGTTCAGTATGAAAAAGTATGACTTTTAGGGTATGTAAGTTTGAGACTCCTTAAAATGTTTAGAAATAGGAGCTGGAGAGATGGTTTAGCAGTTAAGAACACTGTTCTTGCAGAAAACCCAGGTTCGAATCACAGCACCCACTTGGCAGCTAACAACTGTCTGTAACTCCAGTTCCAGGGGATCCAACAGCCTCTTCTGTCCTCTGTGGGCATTGCATGACATGGATGCACTTACCTACATGCAGGCAAAACACTCATACATATAAAATAAAATATTTTAAAAATAAAAAACATTTAGAAATAATGACTTGTTTTTTTACATTTGATAAAAAATAGTTGCATAATTTTGATCCATGGATGTTGAAACAAATCTATCGTCTGAAGATCTTTTGAAAAATGCAAGTCCCAAATACTGAACTGTAAATTTTTAAAAATACAAGTTTTAAGAGTCTAAAGTTTATTAATAACTATGTAAATAAATTATTGCTTGAAACATTGCTGCTTAAATAAATCCAAGAACTCATCTCAGTATTTGAGCAAGTAAAATGATAATAAAATCGTCCTCAGCTTCACATCAGTGTTTCAAACCACATCATGCTCATGAAATTATTTCCAGTGCATATTTATAATAGCAAGTACATTTCAAACTAAATGTCAAAGATTACAGAATATTTGTACAATGTTGAGACATCAGGCGTTTGTAAATCCTAAGTATGAAGTATGCAATAAAGATGACGTCTAATAGAATGTGTGACTCCTAATATAGATGATATACATTATCTGTCCTTAATTTGAATTTATGGTTAATTCATAACCATACCATCTTTGATTAGAATATAATTTTTCCTGGCTTGATATGTATTGCCCCAGACTGGCTTATTCAGAATATCTCTAAGCTAGTGTTCATAACCTTTCATATGAAAAGAAGCTATTTTTTTTTGAGGATACCGTAATCTCATGTTTATAAATTTTACAATCAGAAATCAAAATGCACAAAAAAACAGTAAAAGTTGATGTAGAAGAGACCCTACTAAAGATACACCACATTCCTAACTGCCATTGTTCCTGGACACTTAGAACCCACAAACCACTGTCCATGTCCCTGTATCCCAATGAAATTAGGAAACAGAAATTGGCAAAGGAAAATGGGTCTGTTTATAATTTGCCCAAGCTGGGCTGGAGTAGGAGTAAAGAGGTGCAATTTCCTCCTGCTTGTGCCTCTGGTCATTTTACAATTTATAGAAAGCCGGAGACAGAGGCAAGAGCAGAGAGAGGCTGTTCAATCCTTTTCTGCAAAAAGGGGACCTGGGCCTCCCAGGTTACCTCCATGTTCTCTGTTCTGGGTTTCAGGTATATTTTGTTTGTTTGTTTGTTTTTGTTTTTAAGTCTAGGTTGAGGAAAATAGAGACATAAAGATCCCCTACTTTTGAAAGAGAAAAGAACCAGACGTGCTTGTGGGATGTGAGAACCTCACCTATTCTGGGCCTGGCAGAGTCCTTTGTCCCTTGGCTCATTCCTTTAATAAGTATACAGTAAATATCCTTTGTGTCTTATCTTTGGAAGTTAGCTTCAAGCTCCAACTCCTGCATGTCTGTTAAACACACTAATTTTGCAATTTAAAAAAAGTAATAGTCTGATAGCCAAAGGGAGGAATATAAGTGTCTCTCCTTAAACTATCTCCTCCCCAGACAGGAATAGTGCTTCAGAACAGGGACAGAGTTATGATATTTCCCAAAGGAATAACTTAGATATTGCTTTCTATCGGCCAGGCACACCATTTCTTAGCATGGTCTAATCAGTTAATCTTCAGGATATCTCTAAAAGTAGTCACCGTATTAATCCTATGCTGTGGTTTCTATTTCTTTGGTATCTTTTTAAGTTTTTCTTGAGGTTTATCAGTCTTGAATTTTAAACAATTACATTTATATATTTGCTTACCGTGTGTGTGTGTGTGTGTGTGTGTGTGTGTGTGTGTGTGTGAGCATGTGTTGAAATACACTGAGCAAGTAAAACCAAAATGTATAAAACCATCAGACTGTATTACTCCCAGGTCCAGAGAGGTTGGGGTGCAATAAGCCACCAATGGAAGCTCATAGGCAGTGGGGAAATCAGCCAGCAAAGGATGGGGTGGGAGAGAAAAAGCCTGCAGGACTTCCACAGGGTCCCTCAGGCTTTCTCTTGGGGATTATGAATTGGCTAGTTTAAAGAAAAAGGAAGTTATTTTCAAGACTTTGGTGTGGACCATTAGGCTTGAACAGGTTCTGAGACAGGCTTGGTTTTGGGTCAGTAGGATGAGGAACACCATGGCATAGTGCAAACACCCACACTGGGAGTGTGAGTTTTAAGTAGGCCAAAGGAGATGGGATATAATTGTGTTTCAGACACCTCATGCCAGACCTGAAAATGGATGGCAAGTCAGTCTCTGTATTTTAGACTCTATGATACTCTACTTTTTAGAAAATGAGCTATCCTTGAAGAACAGTTAGCATACAGCTATGATGAAGCAGCATATAATAATCTCAAGACTAGCCTCTGTCATTGCTCAAGTGATGACAGGTTACATTTATTCATAGCATCAGCTGAGAAGGCTGGGGGCCACTTGCAGGAAGTGTGTAGAACGCTGAGGAAGTCCCATCCGTAAAGCATTTGCTGCCCCTTGTTTATAAAGCCACCGTGCTTCTCATTCTTCTAATACCTATAAATGTCCTCATGGAAACTAACCTAATGAATCAAGTTGGTACCTCATCAGAGATCTCACAATTTAATTCTCTCCAAATCATTCAGGCAGCAAGTCCAGTGATCAGCAATGGGGGGCTGAAGGCCTTCCAGCAGGACACAGGGGAGGATAGAAGTTGTCCCTGGTGGCTTTTCTAGGACTATAGAAATAGAAGGCCATGGAGGAAACAGAAATAAGCCAAGAGAAACAAGTTGTCCTATAATTCTGGAGTCTACAGTTTCAAGAGCAAGATGCTAGCAGGGGAAATGCCTTTGGAGGCCTCTCTCCTGGGCTTGGTCACATTCCTACTGTCTCTACTCTGAGTTTATGTGATTAGAAGTCCTCCTTTTATACACTGGTCATATTACTAGATGGACCCATTCTAATGAGCTCAGTTAAATATATTTTAAAGCCACTATCTCTAAAACAACAGCTACATTCTTAGGTCAAGGCATAATGAGTTCAGTATACAAATGGTGCCCATCATGAAAATGCAGAAGAAAGCTCAAAGGAAAGAAATGAACAGTGATTTTTCCGAACAGTTTTATTTCTGGCTGTGGGGTGAAGCACGTTTGACTTTTCCCTTCCAGATGTGTGATTTGGAAGCAGAGTGTGGCAGCTTTATGGAATTATCATACACCTTGGTTGCAAATAATTTATAGTTACAGTGCACTATTACATGGCCTACAGCAAATAATATTTCTGTGATTCGGCTCAGAAATCTCTTTGTTCTTTATATAAAAGGTTCATATTTTACCATGTGTAGAATTCATCGTGTGTACTTTGCACTGACTATAAAATGAAAATTTCTGATTGAGGAATAGAAGTC